GGATTTTTCATGAGAAATTTCATGTTTTTCGTTTTTGATGAATAGTAACTCATCTCGGAAAAAATCTATAAAGGTAAAAATCGAAACCGAGGTTTCGTAGAGCATCGTAATAGGAGTTAACAATGTAAATATTAAAACAATTGAACGAAATTTTTTTTTTATTTACACTAAAAAAATCCAAAACCCTAGAAATGGAAGAACATGTGTTTTTGTTCAATTTTATGTTGGGATTTGTGTTGAGGAATATGAATCTTGACTCCAGGTACCGAAATCGGAAGTTAGAGCGAACTATTGAAAGTTTGGGAAACGAGAAAAACAAGGCGAAACTCTGCCGAAATTTTCTAAAACCTAGTTAGTAAGTAATGAGTTAGGAATTCGACTCTTGAGAATGAATAATAGTTTTAAAGCTCGAAAATGAATAGATTGAGGTTCAGAAACCGAGACACACAAATTTGTAGAATTTGCCTCTTAAGCTAGAAATTCAGCTTAGGAAAAAAGTTCAAAAACGAGTTTGAAATTAGATTTAGGAATCTAAGTATGAGGAATTGTGATTTGGAATAGGAAATTGATACCTATTTCCATGAAACAGGTCTTGGCACGAGAGCCGAAGCAACAAAAAAGAACTTCCAGCAAGCGGGAATCCTAGCGGATTATTTGTAAGTGTAGACATATATGTTTGTCTGTACTCGAGTAAACTGTAGTTGGACTTAGAATTATAAATTTGCTTGAATTCCTAAGTCAATGTGATTTTAAGTGTTTGGAGGGCCTAGTGCCCTAGATTGCAGAAGGGCGACCTATGGTTACCCTAATGCTCAGTATAAGGTATACATAGAGTATTATGCATTTTCATATTAGCATGTGCACGTAGAGAAAACATTGCATAGCATTCAGTAACGTTTTAAACACTTTGAAATGAAAACTCAAAGTTCAGTAAAGTAAGAGACTGACGGGTCGTCGGCCTCCCAAGGGAGGAAATCTCAAAGAGTATGAGATGCCGGCTAGACCAAACAGTAAGCAGGGGCCTAGGCCCACAGTAACAAGAACCGTAAGCAGGGGCCCAGGCCCACAATAGTAAGAACAGAAAGACAGAAAGCAGTTTTTAAAGTATGTTTCACATGTGCATTTTCGCATCATGACACATTATGTATTGTTACCAGTTTATGATGTGTGCATGTTTATACTTGCTGAGCTTTCGCTCATTAGTTTACTCGTGTGCAGGTAACAACGGTAAACAGCCAGCTATGTATTAGTTTTGCCTGGTGGACTGGCTGATGCGAGGTGGCGGAAATGTCATGGGCACACGGGAGTGGTGTCTACTACGCCCGCTTAGGAAAATTTCGCTGCAAAGTAGTGTAACATAGAACACCAGTTTGTATATTCAGTTTTAAGAAAAAAATGTATACAGTCATTGTCTTAGTAAAGAACAACAGACTGTAATAAGTTAAGATAAGTTTTCGGGGACTAGTTCCATATCCGATTTCTTGAATTTTAGCAAGATGAATTAATCTTATAACAAAAGAACATGCTAAAAACATGTTAAGAACCTGAGGGTTAAAGTAAAGAAAAAAAAAATTTACTCGTGTACGAACGTAATATAAATAGACAATAGTCTAGTAATAAGTAATGGATTAGACAGGGGGGCAGTCGGGGAAAGAAAAATAGAAACTGAAAACGATCCTTAATCGTTTTCAGTTTTTGTGACTTTTTGAGAATAAGTACAAAAACGTTTTCAATTTTTTTTATAGGAAATACGGTGCCAAACGCATTTCTGAGAGCATTTTTATTTTTTTTGTTCTTGAAAAACGTGAAAAACGTTTTTAGAAATGATTCCAAACAGACACTTAATTTTGCTTTCAATTTTGGAGGTTAACATTTTTGCTCTAATTTTTTCCCATTATTTTCTTATTTCCAAACATGAGGAAACTTAAAATTGTTCATCCTAAAAACTAGTTTCAAACACACCCCCTTAACGATGTGTGTTTATATACATATGTGTGTGTGTGTGTGTATATATATATATATATTGTGAATCGACTCGTCTCAATCCCTAGCCCTCCCTAGTCTTCACGTAGCCAGCTTTCTGGTTTTTCCATCCCCATCACCAGAAAGTTTTCTCTATAAATACAAAGCAAAGCATTACCAATATTGGTTCAAGTCCAACAGAGAATTAAACGACTCCTCCCACGCACCCTCTACATCAGCCAATCATGACCAATATCTCTGCAGAAAAGCAAGCTGATCATGCGGCTGAGGTTGAGTCTCCTCAATATCTCTGCAACTACCTCACCGAAAACAATTCAGAGAGCTTCCCAATCCCCAATGTCTCACCATCTACATCAATCTTCACGTCCTTACTCTCAACACCAAACATGAACGGTAGAAAACGTAACAACAAGAAGTTTGGTTATTAAGAATGTTAAAAATGTGTAATAATAATCGGAGATAATTAAATATCTTAATATCTCATATTTTTAATATCGGTGTTACGTTAAGCCTCCAGAATCATGGGATGTTAAGCCCGAACACCAAAAATACGCTTAAGTGATGGTATCAGATTTTTGGTGGTTGTGATATGCAAGCTTAAAGAACTGTCTTATTACTTGTTTCTCGTCCAAGTCTCTGAAGTTTGGTCCTCAAAAGTTGGAGAATCTTCTTCTTTAATGCTACCTCTCTTTTGAATTCTTGGAATTAGAAATCATTTTGGTGTTGCTACATATTTCTTATTTTCTCTAACATGTTCATGTTGTATAAATTTTCTTTATAATTGTCTTTTCTTTTTTGTTTTTTTTTTTTTGTTTTTCAGGCTTGTTAATAAGTTCATTAAAAGTTACTATAGCTTTGACATATTCCTCTATGTTTTGAGGAACAAAGTTTTGATTTCACACTTTATGGGATGCTTTTAGACACGACTTTCAAAAATCAGCCTTTGGAAACCAGGAGAGACTGATCGGGAGATGAAGAGAAATATGTGCAGTGTTTGAAATTATTCTTATTTTTGTTTTTCACATTTTTTGAAAAAAATAAAATAAAAATGATTTTAAAACGGTGTACAGCACAATTAAAGAAAAAAACAGAAATGAAAATGATTTTTTAGTTTAGTGTAAAATGAGAGAGAAATGAAAAATGATTTTTAGTCGTTTTTCATTTTTTATTTTTATTTTTTCCTCTCTCGAGCTGAGAGAGAGACATGAATGAGTTTTTTTATACTGAAAACAACCTCTTGATAAAACTACCAAACACATTTTTAAAAATGATTTCAGTTCTCTAAAAATCATTTTTATGTATATACAAAAAAAAATCATTTTAAATCAAGTTCCAAACGCACTTGAGCAATATAGAGCAAATTACTTGGAAAAACAAGACAAATAACAAAAATACAAATGATAAAAGAGCAAAAACCCCACAAGAAACCCGGTTTTGAATTTGGCTTCCTTTTTCAGTTGGTGCTCCCACATGTTGACACAGCTCCTTCAATAGTGAAGTTTTCCTTGATTTCTTAATTTCCTTTTTTGTAGTTCAGGATTTGATTTACCATATTGTATATTGGCAAAAATGTTGTCAGGAAAAAAAAAAGATTAGAAAAACAGACATCCTTAAGAGTATCAGCAGTTCTCTAATATTTTGTCCCTTTCTTGTGTTCTTGTTCTAGCTTTCCTTGTTATTGTACTTGTCCTAAATTATAAGAAAGAAAAACACAAATTGAAAGCTGAAAATGTGGTCCAATCATACTACCCTTCTAGCAATCAATCATCCCAAGTTGCTGAATGTTTGAGAAACGGAGTCATAGTTGCCTCTTTGATGAAAATTCCAATTTCATTACAACTTAGACATATTGCATGGATCGTGTGATTTTTAACAGAAACATAAATTGGATTGAATTCCAGTTGAAACTTGATATTTAACAATTTGGCCCATTGTAACAGATACAAAATATTGAGCTAAGGACTCATTGCAACTTGCATTAGATGGTAAGTAAATTAAAGAATAATGGATTGATGAATACGAAAAATGGTAACTAAAGTTATCCATCTTAAAATTCATTAGTGAAGCATTTAGACCGGTCATGTACGGCATACCAACACTTTCTAGCCTCAACTAACCAAGCCTCTTTCTAGCCTTAAGTTATTATCAGAAGTTCTATAAACACATCTGAATTTGCCTTGAAATAACACCATTTTTTCATAGGCATGCACTTGATGAAATCCATCTTCATAATCTTTTTTTTTTTTAATACTAATAGTAGGTGAAGCTTATCTATGAGTTTCAAACTGCAGCTGTAGGACTTATCTTTTATTAGAATATGTGTTCAATACCATCAATATATCCTCTAGCATTATTCCAATAAGGAGACGTTTGGTAAGAGAATTCATACCATGATTTAAATCATAGTTCATAGTTCGTTACAGTGTTTTCTCTCACAAAAAATACACGTAAATCGAAAATGATTCTAATCCTTCTACTCTTTCTTTCTTTTAGATCTTTTTGAACCTTTAAATTTTTGAATTATTCAGATAGTGGATTTTTTTATTTCTGTACCATTAGATTTCAGAGACGTTTGTTTCATGGATTAGAATCATGTGATTAAAACCATTTTCGATTTACGTGTATTTTTTGTGAGAGAAAACACTATAACTAATCATGAATCATAATTCAAATCATTTAGATGTACTTTGAACGTGTAGCTCTCACCTAATAATGATTACAAAAAATATAGGGTATTAAAATGAATTTAAGCAATAATAAAAAAATAAAAAATGGGATCATAACAAAAATACAAAAGGTAAGGGGAAGCTATAGTAATTATCAAGACAAAAAAATACAGGGTATTAAAATGAATTTTAGAGATAATAAAAAAACAAAAAACAAAAAAAAAATTAAAAATGGGATCGTAACAAAAATATCAAAAAGTAAGGGGAACCTATAGTAATTATCAAGATTAGATGGACTTCTTTATTAATAAAAAAATACAAGTAAAACAAAGTCCATGTTCTTAGGCGAGGAAAAAACAAAAACAAGAACATAAACAAATTAATCAGACCAGAAATAATTGAATTCCTTCCCACCAAAGGTTCATCTAGCTACTCATCTTGACTGCTTGTTCTCTCTCTCTCTCTCTCTCTCTCTCTCTCTCTAAAACGAAATTATTAATTTTTGTCAAAATTTTCTGTGATTTCTGTTCGTCTCTGCAAAGGATTCTGTGTTGAAAATGGCATCGATGAAGCTCATCGCAATTCTTCTTGTGTCGCTATGTCTGATCGCGCCTCTCACTCAAGCCACCAAAGTCACCTACTGCAGTAACTACCACTAAACCTTTTTCTTCTGGCTTTTTTTTTTTTGGGTTCGAATTTTAGCTTAACGTTGTGCTCTGCAATTTTTGGTTTCCAGTGATTGGGTTTCGATCATTAGCTTTCTTTGATTAGATTTTGTTTTCCTGAAGAGGAAAAAAAAGTATAATTTCTTAATTATTGAAGTTATTCCCAAAATAATATTTGCTTTTGGGGGGTTTTTTTGTGTTGGGATATCGGCTTAATTTGGTCGTAGGCAACCTTTGATGAGATTTTTGGAAATGGAGAAAACAAATGCATTACTTTGATCAGATTTCTTTCGTAGGCGAAAGTTTTTAAATTTGATTTTCTTTCACATAGGAAAAGGAGAAATCAAATAATAACTCCATTTGAACGTTTTGTTTTGTTAATTGTCATAAAATACTAAAAGAAAAGCACAATTTATTTTAACCTCTAAGCACAATTTATTTTAACCTCTGTTTGTTTTACCAGAAAATTATGTGGAGTTTCATTTTTACCCATAAATTTGTCTACTTCCTCGATTATTATTGTAAAGTGATGAAATGAATTCAGATTTTATTTATTGTTTGATTGTTGTATTGATGGTAATGCTGTGAAATTTTAGCTGATATGATTTGGAATGTCTAATACTTTTGTAGCTAAGAAGGCTTATGATGTCACGGTTAAAGGAGTTGAGATAAATCCTGATCCGGTTGTAAGAGGCAAGCCGGCAACGTTTAGCATTTCTGCAACTACAGGTACTCTATGAAGTGAGAAAGTGGACCACTGATTTCAAGGCGTGAAAAGTTTTGGTTTCGTCATTGCTTGCTTAGTTCTGCCAATTTCCTGTCTTATGTTTGATGTGTTCTTGTCCGAACGAAAGTTGATAGTTGATGTTGTTTTTATTGCTGGGAAATCCAGTCTGTAATCTCGTGTAACTACACAAGTTAAAGGCTATGTTCTCTGTCATTACTTTACTTGCTCAGCTTTGCTATTTGCTATCTGCTATCTTATGCTTGATGCTGGACAAACAATGTGTACATTTGTGCACCAAGTTTCACTAGTTTTAGTGTCAAAACTATGTTGGATTCTTCTTAAAGGGCTATTGTTTTCCTATGCACAAATAACTCTATATGTATATGAATAGAATACAATACTCTAGAGGATTTGATATTAGCATGAGCAAAAAAATGCACCTATTGTCATTCCTTTTTGTGTGTATTTCTGTGTCTGTCAGCGTGAGAGTGTGTTTTTGACATACTTATGACCTATTATGTGCTAACAGAGGCACCGCTCTCTGGAGGAAAACTGGTTATTGATGTCTCATATTTTGGCTTACACGTCCGCACAGAGGAGCACAAGCTTTGCGAAGAGACTTCTTGCCCTGTTTCAATTGGTGATTTCGTGATTTCTCACTCCCAAGTTTTACCTGGATTTACTCCACCCGTAAGTCATTCCATTATGCAATTTCAGTTGCACTATATTTCTAGTACATAGTCACTCAGTTCTAGATAAATTTCATAATCCAATTACAGCTAAAATCTCCTTGCAGCCTCAAATACCACTATTCACTTTCAGCGTTTAAGTGTTTGTGTGTGCATTGTTTAAACATAAATATTTTTCTCTCCAGTAATTTGTATTGTAGTTTGCTTTCCCCTGTTCATTTCTAAAAACTATATTACAATTTGTCGAAGTTTGATGACCTCCCAACCTCCTGCTAGCAGTTCTTCAGCTCTTTTCACTTTGCAGAGAGAGGGAAGAAGCTTGAAAATTTCCAAGAATTCATCAGCCTTATAACTGTTATCGTCCACAAATGTTTTTACCATTTTTCCTTTAAACTTAACTTTCACCATTGGACCTTTCATTTATCCTGAAGAAATCTTGAGGGCTTCTCTAGAATGACGAATTTCGTGTATAATTATTGCTGTCTATGAAATAGATATATTATATTTCTGCATTTCTGATAATGTTTTGCGCGTGTCAGGGTTCATACAAACTCAAAATGAAGCTGACAGATGATGGAAAGCGTGAGCTGACATGCATTAGCTTCGGTTTCTCCATTGGCATTGGATCATCTGTCGCGGATAGTTAGAGCTGCATAAATTGTTTCTTTAGTATGTATGTATCATTGCAGTCTTTATATAAATGTGTAAAAAGGAACCCAAAATACAGTTTATCCATGGGCCATGCTTAAATTTTACTGGTGCTTTATTGTACTCAACTACCTACTTTTCTGAGACGACAAAAAGTTGAGCATTGCTATTTAGAGAAGCTGAATAAAGATTGCCATTGCCTAAAGTAGCATCAGCATGTCTGCTTAACTTTCACGTGTAATGCGTGATCCTAGAAGAGCAATTATTGATAATCAAATATTTTGAGTACACATCTTTGGGAAAAAAAATAGCAATATATGATTTTTATTTTAAATACACATTTCCTCTCTCTCTCTCTCTCTCTCTCTCTCTCTCTGTATCTGGCAAAATTGTGATCGGATCAATTATATATTGAAACAATAATAGTCCCTTCAAATGAGTCGCCTTTATCTCTCTTATCTCTTTGTCAATCCCATCTCTCTCTCTCTATATATCTCTCTCTCTTCCCTCTCTCTTAAATCATTTGTGATAAAAAACAGAAGTGCAAAACTTTCTTGAAACCTGGTCGTGATGGCGGAGATGAAGCTCATTGCAGTCCTTCTCATACCACTATTATGTCTGATTGTACCTCTAACTCAAGCCGTGAACTTTCACTACTGCGGTAAGCTCCCTCTTAAACCTTTTACTTCTTGAGATTTCTGTTCTAATATTTGGTCGATGTTGTTAGCATAAATGCTTTGTTTCCTTTGATTTTCAGATCTATCACCTTGATTTCACGAGAATTTCCCTGGAAATGGAAATTTTCCTTGAGAAAGAGTTTTCTTTTTCCTTTAAAAAAAAAAAAAAAAAGGCACTTTCATATCAATTGAATTCCTCGTATCAGCTTTCCTTGACGCTGAACATGTTTTTACGTGTGAATATGCATTCAAATAGATTGGAAAATTTGGAGACTCGGTGTTCACTTCTATTTGTACTGATATTAATGAATTAAACATGTACAATAAGCTGATCATATGTTTGGGGAATGTGTAGATAAGCAGGCTGATTATGATGTCTTTGTTCAAGGAGTTGAAATAAATCCTCATCCTGTTATAAGAAGCCAGCTGGCGACCTTCACCGTCAATGCATATACAGGTATCCTTATTCTCTTAGAAGAAAGAAAGCTGATTAACGCCAATTGGTTGGCTCAGTGGTGAATGATAAGAACAGAGTATTGTTTCCCACAGAAATGAATCAAGAAGAATGAAAATGTAATCTTTATTGATTAACAGAACGAATTACAAACTATTCTACCAATACTCTCACAAACCCTTGCTCAGCCTTAGCCAAGACTTCCCAAACAGACTCCAGTAATTTCCTAACTCTCTAATCCCACCTCTTGCCTATTTATTCCCTTCTCTTCCTTCCTCACGACAATCCCCTGTACCTCCCCGCAATATACACTTCTCAGCTAACTAACTACTAACGACACACCCCTAACTCCCCGTCATTCCCTATCTAAGCAACAGTTTATCAGCCTTATCAGTGAATCACTTGGACGTAGTGCCTCAGGCTCCTATTGAGTATTATCTATTCCTAGGTGCCACGCCCGTGGGCCAAAGTCCCAACATTTACCTGATGCATGTGCAGGGGGCACTTTGTATGAATCCTGTGGATTAGTAGAAGTAAGTCTCGGACACCACGGTTGTCGGAAAAAAAAAAAAACAAAAAAAAGAAGAAAAGAAAAGAGAAGAGTAAAGAAAGCTGACTAATGATTTCAACGTTGAAAGGTTTTGTTCTGTGTCATTACTTGGCTCACTTGTGCTGTTTACTATCTTATGTTTTTGTCATTCTCGTGTCTTGTCTACATGAAATTTGTTGTCATTTTTCTCATAATACAAGTCATCCATTCATGTTCCAACTTTCTTCTTTTTTCATGGATGCATACAAGCTTTTACACGTATATAATATTGTATTTGTAGGAAACTAACTCTAAAGTGGTTTGACATTATGTAACTTTAGGCAGTCCCTTTTGTGATTTTCTTTTTTTTTTTTCTTTTTGAATCTAGACTTATTTTATGTGCCAAGACCAGGTGAAGCAATCTCTGGAGGAAAACTGGTGATTGATATTAAATATTTTGGAGTACACATCCACCAAGAGACTCACGAACTATGCGGGGAGACCTCTTGTCCTGTTTCAGCTGGCAGTTTCGTGATCTCTCACACTGAAGCTTTACCTGCATTTACCCCACCTGTAAGTAATCATCCCACTTAATAATCATACTTGCATTATGTTTTAAATACTAGGAATCTCACTGTTAACACAATATTAAATCACCCTTGCAGCCTCAATTGCCACTATTATTATCGCTATTCGCATCATTAATAAGTGATTTTTCCCCTAATTATGTTAAGTATGGATTGATTAATCCTGTATCGGCTGCACCTCTTAGCCTCTTAGGTGTGTGTGTGTCGTAAAAACTAACGGTTGGTTTGGTTCGTGGATTCAAATTGTGTGGTATAATCTTTTGAGTTTGAACCAAAAGTTCTAAACCTATGGGGTTTCAACTCTAGTTCAAATTTCGGGCTGGTTTTTTTTCTACAAAACAACAACAACAACAACAAATACAAGCCTTAATCCCAAATTAATTAGGGTCGGCTATATAGATTTCTCGTTTCCAGTCTGTTCTATTAAACACGAGACCCTCCTGAAGCCTTAGATCTTAAAAGTCGTGCCTAACTACGCCGGCCCAAGTAATTTTTGGTCTACCCCTCGCACTCCTAGTACTTAGGTATTTGGATGTTCTCCCAAGCACGAATAGGTGCATCTAACGATGTACGTTGTACATGCTCGTACCACCTCAGACGGTTTTCCCGCACCTTATCTTCTATTGGTGCTACACCTACTTTACCACGAATAACTTCATTCCGTATGCGATCCATCCTCGTATGGCCACTCATCTATCTTAACATACGTATCTCCGCCACACTCATCTTGTATATTTGTTGTCTCTTGATGGCCCAACATTCACTACCATATAACATAGCTGGGCGAATTGTTGTCCTATAGAATTTTCCTTTCAACTTAATAGGCATCTTATTATCACATAAAACTCCCGTGACATTCTTTCACTTAACCCACCCTGTCATAATCCTATGTCCAATATCCTCATCTATATCCCCTTCACACTGCATTATGGACCCTTTTTTGTTTCCTACCCAAAAATAAATGAATAAATAAACCTCTAGTTTAAACTAGTGTTTGTAAGTATAAAGCCTGAATATGAAATAAATCTTCATATCAAAAAACTGGTGTTAGGATAGTGTGAGAATTGTGAGGAAACCAGAAATAGAGCCATGGTTTTACTATAGCAACTAGATTCAAATCCATGTGAACTTAAAGGGGGTGGATTTTGAAAGTACTGGTTCTTGGATGGTTTAAACGCCCCATCAAAGGTTCAAACTCTCCCTTATTGAGAACTTCATGCATACTACGAACCTGAGAGATTATGATCTCTATGTTTTAGATGAAGCTTATTAAGTGGTTCATCAACTATTTAAATGGAAACTGTTTGTGTCTTTTGCAGCCTCAACCTTTCCTCTTCCGTTCTTTGCGACGGTCCCCAAGTACAAATTCTGATTTGTCTCCCTTTCTCCGGCTACCATTTGAATATTGATGCACCACTTAATTAGGTAAACTCATCTAATGGGTTTGAATTGGGTTCACGGGTTCACAAATCTGGAAAACAGCCCCTAAATTTGCTGTATCATGTTGGCATGTTGCTGTAGAATTGTTGGTTACCTTTTTTGCGTGGTTGTCTCATGAACTTACCGTGTTTGGCAAATCAGACCCTGAACTAAAACTTTTTACAATAAACTCTCCAAACTTTAAAACTCGTTGTATAAGAGGTCCAATTAACAAGGTCTATTAAGTTGTGGATGTTTATTACACGTAGCTAGCACATGATTAGTAAAAATAGGCACCACTGGTTATTTTCTTCTATCTCAAACTCAAATCTAATTATTAATCTCAATATCAATACAAATTTAGCTAAACATTTGTCTTTTAACCAAAAAAAGTGGTTCTGTTCACACATTCATTTTTACTCTCCACACATTCCCTTTAATTATAATTTCTTATTACAAAAGAAACCTTCACATAAAATGACAAAAAAGGACGATTATGATAGACTTAATTACATAAATACATTTTATTATAAAAAATAAACTAATGATATTTTATTTTCTCTCTCTTCAAACACCCCTCATGTCATATTCTCAAATTACAAACAAGTGTGATTTTGAAATCCATAATAAAACTTTAATTTTTACGGTTCGATTACTATTCCAAAATTTTACATAGAGGCATGTTAAATTTTATTTACTATTTGTTGTATGTTGATTGCTCATTTGCCTTCTCTTTCTTTTGCTTTATGTTTATTTTTTATTTTTTTTATTTTTCTAATCATTTCGTTTTTGTAAAGGTAAATCATTTTGTTTTATTTTTTTCATTTCTTGTAAAGTTGAATTGATTTTTTTCCGTTTAGTTTTTTTGTATGGTTATGCTTGTTTATTTTTTTCATTCTATTTCCATTTTGTCTTTTTTATTATACCTCAATGATATACTGATTTTGTTGCCGTTAGTTATTTATTTATTTATTTTTATTTTAATTAAAAATTTTAATATTAAAATAATAATTAAAATAAAATGGTGGGTGTGAAAAGAAAATGAAATGATTAAGAATTAATATCTCTATGAAAATAGTTGGGGTAATTTTGAAATAATAGGGATTTGTAGAAAGTAAATTTAACCATTTCAAAAGTATATGAGATGTGTATTTAGAAGGGAATGTGAAGAGTAAAAGAGTGAGTAGAACCACTTTTTAAAAAAATATTAAGTAAAAAGTAAAATTTGAACTCGATTTGTCATTAAATAAAAGTAAAATTAACTTAAAAAATAACATTAAATCATTTTTTTTAAATAAAAAACATTTAAAGAAAAGGACAATAAATAAGTAGCGATAACCAAATCTAGAACTAATGACTTAATAAATATCTCGACAAAAATAAATCAGAAAACGTTAAATCAAAACAACGTCTTTAAAAAACACATCTAGACCCAAAAAAAAATCATGTAAGAGGTGTTTGTTCAGATCGTGTTTGTTCTCTTTATTCATCAGGTTAATCTCTGAAGAAGGCCCAATATGTCCAAAGAGTGATGCTAACCAGCTTCGAGCACTTGTGCAACACTGATCCAACAAGCCCAACCTGAACAGTGATGGAGTTAGAAATTTTTGTCAATGAGGGCTCATAATTAAAAACAATAATAACGAGATTATAAGATTAAATTTTTAGTGTTTAGTAAGGGTTATGTGCATGTTGGCATAATAAATTAGGTGTAGTTTTAATAGTTATTTTAATATTTATTATTTTATAATTTGATGGTTATAATAAATTAAATAATTGATAAAAATTTTATGATAATTAATGAAATTTGATTGATGTTATTAAATTTCTATATAAACTGGCTCTATGCAGGCATCGAAACATTGATCCACGACACTTCCACCGCCGTCCACACTCTCTTCGTGGCGGCGACGACTGCGAGATCCAGTGGGGGCTGCTACAAGGATGGCGAGATCTAGCTTGGGTGGGGGCATGACGATGGCGAATTGGCGGGGGCGGTCTCGGTTCTTGTTAGAGAAAGAGAGCCTGCGGGGGTGGACGGTGTTGCAACAGGGACGGTGACATCTAGCAGGCATGACGATGGCGAGTGGCGGGTGCTCTCAATTCGTGGAGAGGAGGCCAACGGCGTCTTGGTTCTTTGGGATTGCAAAATTGGAGAGAGAGAGTAATAATAGAAGCTTGATTCTAGATTTGAAGTAAAATGACCACAATGCCCTTGTAAAACAGTCGCGTGCAACTCGAGTGTTAAATTCTATCTAAAATTTGATGGATGTGAGCAAAAGGACCATCGATATAACACACTCACGAATTTAAGGGGTCAACATAATTTCCAGTTCAGGCACTGATTTATGGAACGCAATAAGATTAGGGGATATTCATGCCCGAAAGGATTGTTATATTTCCATCCATCCATAAAACCTCCTGCTATTTTCTCCATTTATTAGGAATCTTGTTTTGAACTTTACATTGACTAGAGGCCCTATTACTACGTTCCAAAGGCCTTGTCTAGAAGAGCGAACTTTTATGGTGTTATAATTCTGTTTTTATGTCTAAATTTTGTGTTTTTGACATTGTGTTGCGCCGTGCAGGGTTCATACCAACTTATAATGAAGGTAATAGACGGAGAGAATCAGAAGCAGATGACATGCTTTAGCTTTGAGTTTAGAGTTAAAGTTGGATCATCCATGGAAGACAGTTAGAGCCGCATAGAGTGGTTGTTTGGTCTATGCATTATTAATCCCGTTACTATACATAATTTGAAGGGAAAAAAAAAAAAAAAAACGCAATATTACTTTTTTTTTTCCATGAATTATGCGAAAACTACAACTCTTATTTCATTGTTTGAAATTTACCATATATTGTGCCTCGTCTTGAAGGTGAGAGTCTTCGATTGCAGAATAACAGTGTCAGGTCATTTTAGCTCATCAACATGTCTGTTTTGGCATGTTTTGCACATATTTGATAGAAATGTAGCTCTTGTTTCTTATCAATTCAATCTTTCTGAGCACATGCTTGTTAGAACGTAAATAGTTATGATTGGTCGTCCCCTCTTAATTAATTGCTTAAGCACCTTAGGAGGTTTTGAGTTCAAGGCTCAGTAGTTACAATTTCAAAACTCGGTTATACGTGAGGGGAAGTTTGGAAGGAGAATTCGTGCCATGATTCGTGGTTCGCTACAGTATTTTCTCTCAAAAAATACACGTAAAACGAGAATAATTCTTAATCATGATTTTGAATTCATGAACCAAACGTCTTGAGTGTTATATACGGGAGCCAAAGTGTTATGTAGGTTCTGTTTGATAGAGCTTTCTAATTGCTGTTTTTAGTTTTTTGAGATTAAAAACTGCTTTTACAAGTGTTTGAATAGTTTTAATTCTCTAGAACAGTTTCTAATTAAAGTCATAAAATTTGACTTCTCAAAAAAACTCTTTTAGATGGACTTCAAAACTTGTAGCAGGGTTAAAAAAAAAAAAGCAAAACTCCGACAAACGGTGGGTCCATAGTAGTGATAACTAGACCCATAGTATTGATAACTAGCAATGATATTGTCTTGATATCTAACTCATGTTGCTCTCATCTCTTAGAAAGAAAGCTATAGGGCATTATCCCCCTCAAAAGAAGGAAGTAATTGTGTAACAAAACCATGGCCCAATACCCCATATACGTGGAGCCATATTGATCTCAAAGCGGCACAAATGAGATTTTGAAAATCTCCTCATATATAAATTTTTAAAAATTTTAATCGTGTTTTCTTTAATTATGAAATTGTACTTGTGTCTGGACTCAATAAAAAAAAAATTGCAATTCTACTCCCTCTCAATAGAGAATTCTGATTATACCCTCATTTACTCGTGTGTTTTCATATTTTGTCCAAAAAAGCAAAAAAAAACAAGAAGCTCCACCACTGCCCACATAGGTCTTATTGTATGGTGAAGTTAAGACCCCAGGAATTAGATAAATAGTCCAAGCATATTATAGTTTTTATACATTGGTCTCACTAATCAATTCTATAGATTAGAATCATTAATTACGAACCCCGTAAATGCTACTTGAACTGGGACTTTGCTTGATGCAACATGATAAATACAAACAATTTGGAAGATTTGTTGGTCCTGAACTTGTTTTTTATAAACAATATAGGCGTGAAAACTGGATGAAATTGCGTTGAAAGATCTCATTAGTGAGAATAAAGTCTCATCCGATGCCAAAAGTTTATCCCTTTAGTTGTTATCCCGAGGCTTCCACTGATAAAAGTGAGGAAAAAAGAAAGCTGCTTTTTATCAAAAAAATAAAATAAAATAAAAGCAATGGAATCATGGTCCTTGTCTCTCCCTCACCATAAAGTATTATTTGGTCCTATAACTCGGGTGGTCCCGTTCACTTCACTGATTCGAGTTTAGAATTCGAGTTTTTCTACAGTAAAAAGCTCTCACAAACAATCACATCTAACTTTTTTGTTACAGTAAAAAGCTCTCACATAAAGTCACATCTCAACTCGAATTCTAAACTCGAATCAACGAAGTGAACGGGATACATCCTATATTCTTATAACATTCATACAGCTTAAATCTCAACCACTAAATGATAATAAAAAGAGACGGTCTCAACCTTTTAGAAAAAGTTGTCATCTATTACCTGAAAGAATTTAAAGGTGTAAATTGTTTCTTTAGCATATAACGTGTAAAAGGGAGGGAACACAAATTAAATGCAGTTTTGCATGCACCATGCTTAAACTTTACTTCTTCTTTTTTCTTTTTTCTTTTTTTTTTTTTCCTTCTTCTTTTTGGGTATGTTACTCTTGTGCTCAAGCATAGTGCTGGAACTTTGGACGGGCCGCCCGCGACCGCCCGAAAAGCCCGAGGATTTGCCCGAGCCCGAACCCGACCCGCCCGAGATTTTGGGGCCGCCCACCCGAGCCCGAATTTCACTTTGAACGGGCCGCGGGCTTGTATTCGGCAGCCCGAGCCCGCCCGAATTGCCCAAATTTTTTAAACTTTTTTTTAATATTAAGTTATTTATATATATATATATATATCAATA